GACGGTTAATGATGCCAGCAAAAATGCAATTCAGGTGCAGATATCTTGGCATTGGTTCCCTTATCTGACAATCTTAACTACTGGGTTCCAATTTTTATTTCTGCCACGAGGGCTGCTCTGACATGCCAAAAGCAGGCAAGTAAGATTCTTATACTTTCAGTGTAAAGTGCTCCATCTAGTGCCGAGTCAACAACTGATCAGACTCATCCTAACTGTAGCTCCCTTTCATGTTTCAGTCACGAAGCCACAGCCAGTGGTGCTAACAGCCACAGCCAACGAGTGACTTACACAGACCTGGAGAGTCTCAGGTTAAATTTCTGTTCTGTCCTGAGTCAGATGAACACACATTCAATTCACTTTACAGAATATTCTGTGAAGCACTTTGAGATGTTTCGAAGACGTGATAATGGGCTATATCAAATGCAAGGATTATTATTACTATTAACTTAGCCATAATGCTAACAATGCAGTAGGATTGGTTTTAGCATCTGGAAAATGGAAGGGAAAATTCAGGCAGCAATTGAGATTGCCTCTCAATTGCAATCCTATGCTCCCCCTCCCCAATTGCCGGAAAGTGCATGTAACTGGGTGTCGAGTAAGGTTGTGATTGGATTCAACTGTAAGTTGGCTGATGTCACAGAGTTGTATCCCAGTATGAATCAAGAACTTCAAGGCAGGAGGGGGAAACTGGTGGGAGCAGGAGAATTCATCCCATTCATGCCAAATGACTAGATCATGTAGCTTGATTTAATTTCACTTACAAAATAAAAGTTTTAGCTAGATATTCAATACAGTGTCTATTATAGGAACTATTTAGCCACTACTGTTTGTCCATTGACAATAAAAGTGAAGAACAAAAATCCTACAAAGTTTGCCCCAAGAAGGTCCAACAGGATATAAAAGAAAATAGAATATCAAGAAGTAGTGAGATGACACAAGCTTTGATTTTATGCTGTATAGATTGTAGGAGGTAGGAAATATAAAGAAAGATAAGAAATTGCATATTTTTTGAGAACTTGGTATAGAATGAGTTAAATTAACAGACTGTGCAATAAGTTCTAAAAACACCATGATGAGAAGGAGGAAAGTTAGGTCAATGTTTTGGGGGAAAATGAGAGGATTGTTTGGAGCAGCAAGGTTGTGTTGTTGATAAAATGAAGGAGGAGATGAAATTTTCCAACAGAGAGAGGATGAACAGAGTCCAGGATAATAATATGATAACATAATAATAATAATCCTTGATATAGCACCTGATCAGGTCTTCAAGATGTCTGAAAGCACTTTACAGAATATACTGTAAAGTGAATTGACTGTATATTCTGTGAATATTTTATAACCCTGGAAATCGTTACAATGTAAGAGTTAGGAGTCAAAACAGGGGAAAAGGTTCAGAAGATCCTAAACAGAATGGCAGTGAGAAACATTTTGCTCACTTGCCTTTCGTTTGGATTTTAATGATTTGCAAATTGTCATTTTGATACGAGTCTTAATGTTTCGACCCTAGTAACATAATAATTATAATAATCCCTGCATTTGTTATAGTGCCTTATTACATCTTCTAGACATCTTAAAGTGCTTCACAGAATATACTGTAAAGTGAACTGACCATATATTTTGTGGGCGAAACATGGCAGCCAATTCGCACAGCAGTGTCCCACAAACAGTCGTGGATTGAGTTACCAAATTATTATTTTTTTAAGGGATTATTATTTCCAGAAAACGATCCACCAATCACCTAACAAGTGGGTTCCCACTCAGTGCTAGGTAAACAGAGGCGTGTGGAGTAAGTAAACTTGCCCAACATTTTGCTCTTCCTGGGAATCAATTTGAGGTTCTCTCGCTTGCGAGGCGAGTGCTCAAACCACAAAATTACAGGACGCCACATGATGAGATGATCTGACAAAATCACTGGCAACACTTCTTTACTCCCTAAATTTCAAAACATTTGCTAATTTTAATGTAACTTTATTCTGATTCTGTTATGAAATACTCTATTAAACGTTTCAGCTTCTCAATGTATGGAACAGTACATATACGATACAAGTCCTTAAATGTTGGTCCTGCTTAAAGTATGTAACTGAAAAGTTAAACCAAACATTTTCAAGTCAGTGTGCAAAGCTCAACGGCTAAACCGGTTGCAATGACAGATTGGAGTTTTCCTTCTCAGGACTATTTCAGCCTTGTATTTACTTTTTCTCTGTTCAAGGCAATACATACCAGAAGGTGGCAGTAAAGTAACAAGTTTGGGTGATTTTGCAGCATGTTGGGTCAGTATATTTTCCTGCATGCTGTTGCACCTCTTGTTAAAGAGATTTATTTTGTGAGAGAAAACAACTACAGACCTGCAGATTTGAGGTGTGCTGGGTGGAATATTGCACTCTGCAAAAGGTTCCCATGGATGGATGTTAACGAAACGCGTCACTATTTGTTGAGCCTTGCAGTTCAGGCTTGAAAAGGGTAATGAAAGATTTGTGTATTACGCACCTCAGTAACCTCAGCTGTACAAATGTATCAAACGTGGTGGAGAATGAAAGGATTTCAATTAGGCTGTAAGTTGTTTTGGGTCGAAGATTCTTGTGTGTTTCTAGAATTTCACTCAATTCTCTTCAATTCTCTTCTCGCGTTAATTAAGAGCTGACAAATGGTTGAGTGGGCACAAAAGAACTCCTGGCTTGCTTTCTGTTGCAGGGTTTTTCATTGTCGTTTTAGAACAGCTTGGAGCTTGCAAACAAGATGAGTTTGTTAAACTTCAAAAGCCGTGTGAGAATGTGCTTTGTGGATTAAAATGATGTATGCACAAATGGGGGTGGCCCACTCGCCCTCAGCCACTGTGTCCTCCACTTTCTGGCCTCTACTCCCCAAATCCCCTCTCTTAGTGTCTTCAACCCCCTCCCGAAAATATTTAAAAACATGCAACTTTGGCCAACACCCTCAAACTCTTGCTTTCCTCTTTGCTAGATGATTCTCCCATCATTTTGAGATTCATCCTACGTGAAAGTTCTTACATGTATATGTGCAAGTTGTTGGGAGGCGGAACATTCGCATTGCCAAAGCTTTGCTGATCTTCAATTCCAAGTTGAATCTTGATATGATGAGAGCGTGCTATTTAAAAAAAGTGCAATAAAATAATACAGCTGGTTGTTACAATGGAAATGTGGAGTAGATTACACAAACTTATGATTCCCATTATATTGATTCTTTTCATTAATTGGTAAAATCTGATCATTTATTTCTTTTGCCAGGCGAGCCTTCTGCCACTCTGCCCCCACCCACTGGAACTCCATCCTCCAGTCCCTCCGCTTCACCCCCTCCCATGCCTCCTTCAAGACCCTCCTCTTTAACCATGCTTTCAATCACCCTCTTTCCTCCACTGCCCTCCACCCTCCCCAATCCCGACTCCCAGCTCAGGTCCAATACAATTTTGTTGTTTTAAAATGAATGAACAAAATTGAGAAATTTCAACAATATTCCATTTGGGAAAGATGAGCATTAACCTGATTAATCCAGGACAATCCCTTTAAAACACTATCATCTGGGACCAATTTGCTAGCCACAGGCCCCGAGCTACAAAAAGGCATTATAAAATGGTCACCCTCTGGGTTGATATTGATGTCACTTCCTGTGCAATGTGCGCTTTGGGACCAATTTTCAGAGACCAGTAAATTTAGTGCAGTCGAGGATTGAACCAGTGAGCTCCTGGGTCTATAAACTGCATTTCTTTCCTACATTATCAGGGCTGTCCAGGGTTCCCATTTTAAGCAAAGCACATTAAACTTAATGGCACATTGAGACCATTCATTTAAATTCTTTGAAGTTGTTGTTTTTGGCATCCTATAGTTCATTTTTTAGGTTTTCTTTTTGCTTGTTTACTGTGCTGGCAAGGCAGACTGCGTGCCTTTCTCTTTGATGCATAAATATTTGTGCCAAAAAATTAAAGATTGCAACATGGTTACTGCAATTAAAAAGGCGAAAGAGAGGTACTTTCAGTTCAATGTCCTTTTTTCAACCCACTATCTAAATTGAAAAATTATGGAATTATTAAATACTTTTTTGCCACTACTGAAATAATATTGAGTTTCATGAGTTGCTGTTGGCCACCTCCATTCCAGTAATGTGACTGAGGAGAAAGCATTCTCAAGTGACTACATTAATTTCAAAGTAATTGTCCACTTTGGACCAGCCGAAGCCCCCAAACTCAGAAATGTACATCAGTGAGTAACATTCAGCAGCACCGCGCTGGTACCCTGCTGTACCAGGGCTGGGAAGTCCAGAGTTCTCGTTGAACTTTATAGAGCAGAAGGCCATTTGGTCCATCGTGTCTGTCTGTGCCAGCTTTTTGACAGAGCAATCCATACAGTCCCGTTTGCCTGTCTTTTCCCCAAACCCCTGCAAATGACTCCTTTTGGATATCTATTCAGGTCCCTCCACCTTCAAAATAAATGGAGAAGTCCTGGGATGTGCCCATCAGTGATGTCAATAAAGTGACTGAGTGAGAAGGTCCTGGCAATCCTCAAAACTGAAGGACATTCAACCCCATATCAGGACTTGGAGCCACTGACACTCCAGTGCAGTGCTGGGGGAGTGCTGTAGAAACATAGAAACAGGAGTAGGCCATTCAGCCTCTCAAGCTTGTACCGCCAACCTATAAGATCATGGCTGATCTGTATCTCAAGTCCAATTACCCGCCATTGCCCCTATCCCTTAATTCCCTGACCTAACATATCTATCCACCTCAGTCTTGAAGATGTGAAAGGATCCAGAATTTTGGGGGGAGTTCCCAAACAACAACAACTTGCAACCTCTTTTGCATGTGTGAAACTGATCCGTTTTAAGGCAGTTTTCACAGCTCTATGCTTACTTCTGCATCTGAGCCCATTGGTAATAAATTAACATATGGACAGTTGGTGTGCAGATGAGCATTGTTCTACTGTAACAGTTTAATAAGCATTGCTGTCTTGATGTCAGCTTCATATGTCTGCTTTGTTCTGTTCTACCTCCAGTGGAGAAAGCGGTGCTGGGAAAACAGAGAGCACAAAACTTATCCTGAAGTTCTTATCAGCAATGAGCCAACATTCACTTGAAGCTACAGCGAAGGAAAAGACCTCTTACGTTGAACAGGCTATTTTAGAAAGCAGGTGAGAAGTCTTCTGAAGTTTCTGCTATGTAATAAACAAAGAACAATTTTTTTTAAGATTGTGGATCCTAACTACACTTCACTACATGTATTGAAATAGTGATATGAACTGTGCTTCCATTTGCTGGCTAATCGTTTCATCTTTGCTGCCTCCTTATGTCTTACTCTTCTTCAGCCAGGAGGATTGAATAATGTAGGTTGTATAGTTTCCATAGTTCTCCATCAATACTCCTTTCTCCCGGGACTCTATTTATTCCCCCACCCTCTCCTACTCCTGTGAAGGTGATCTCTTGAGCCAGATACGTTGACTGGGCCCCAGAAATCATTCAGGACATCACCCATTCTTTATGAATGAACCTGGTCATTGAGTTTTGTCTCATAGCCACGTGGACCTTGCCGAGGGTGCATTTCCACTGGGAAGGAGGGGATGCTTCCGGGCTAGCACTTGGGAGTCGGAACCGTAGCAACAATTTTCTCCCTTCCTAGACCATGTGTATTGAGACCTATTGCAGTCCTTCCATCACCATCAAGCCTGAGATTAGAGATCGATCCTGGAACTCCCGTTAACTGCATGGCTCAGTCCAGCACCAAATGGCTGTTTAACCCCTTGGCTATTTAGAGAGCTCTATGTGCTGCTTTCCGATTGATTCTTCTCGGCTCTTGTCAGGTTTTTCTTGTTCACCTCATCACAGAGATTAAACGTGCCACTGCTGCACGATGGCCCAATTCAAAGTATTCATGGAGGCAGTGCGTGGCTCTGAGTTAAAAACTTTCTCACCTTCATTTATTATTATCTTTTTTTATATTTTATATTATATTATTTATTATTTATAATATATTATTTATATTATATATACTTTACAGTCTATTCTGTGAAGCGCTTTGAGGCGTCGAGAAGATGTGAAAAGTGCTATATCAAATGCAAGGATTATTATTATATTCATTTCAATATGAAAAATTGAGAATTATGCTTGTTAAATGAGGATTTTACAGACTCATGTGGCACATTCCTTACCAGTAGGTATTTTAACTGCAATGTTTCTCATTGCCCATTACCATTCCTTACTCCCCCCCTCAGTTGGAGATTTGTTACTACACTTTGTTCGTTCCCAGCTCTAGCTCACTAAGGTGGGTCTTCAGAGGGTATTAAAATGTCCGACTACCGGCTCAACACCAAGTCCAGGCCATATCATGGACCTGTGAGTTTGTGCATGGAGCTGATATTGTGGAGTCCTGTAGCTCAGTGGTTAGAGCACTCGCTTTGCAAGCGAGAGACCTGAGTTCAATTCCAGGCAGGGCGAAACCTTGGGCAAGTTTCCTTACTCCACACAGAGCCTAATAATAATCCCTCCAAAACCAAAAACAATAATAAATTGGTCATTTTCAATCTACGACTGTTTGTGGGACATTGCTGTGCGCAATTGGCTGCCGCGTTCGCCCACAAATATACAGTCAGTTCACTTTACAGTGTGTTCTGTGAAGCGCTTTGGGACGTCCTCCCGACGTGAAAAGCACTATATCAAATGCAAGGATTATTATTATTATTATTATGAGTTTCTTATGCCACTTCACCATCAACATGATTAAATAGAGCAATTTCTTCATTTTCATTTGTACAAGAAATTATAGTGATCATTTCAACTTGTACTCCCATACATTTCTTTCCTGTAATCTTGTTTTTCCTTTAAACCAACAGCCCCATCATGGAAGCCTTTGGCAATGCAAAGACTGTGTACAACAACAACTCCAGTCGCTTTGGGAAGTTCATTCAGTTGAACTTCTGTAAGAAGGGCAACATTCAGGGAGGCAGAATCATAGATTGTATCCTTTCGCATGTCACACATCACAGTGCACACAAGACACTGGCAGCAGCGTCCAATGGTTATTTGCGATAATTTGTTTTCTTAAACAATCCATAAAAAGAATGAAGAGCCATTCTGAAGCATAATGAGAACAGAATATGGACATGTTGGAGAACAGGATGTCAGTGTATTGACATCAGTCCCCTCTGGGACCTGCGTTAGAATCCAGCAAAGAGCAATTGCATGAAAGTGCATCTGCCTATTGCAAAATTAGTTTAGCCAGTCTTGACTTACCGCTCCACCCAAAATTACCTTAATTTGACATTACATATCAGTTTCAGTCAAGAGGGCTACAGGATAGATGTGGGAAAATGTTACACAGGTGCAGTAGCGCTTGTTCCTCTGAGGTTGGAGCTGAGGCACTTTGATAGCGCAGAGCACTGGGTGTCTGCCAATGAGAATGTTCCCCATTCATCACCTCAAGTGGTAGAAATTTCACCAAAAATAAAAATAGATAAACTTGAAATATATATTTACAATGGTGTCAAGATATTGCAATATTCCAATTTGGTGTTGTATTTGGAGAGACATGGAAGAAATCTTGACATCTTCTAAAGACTATTTATTGTAGCTAGTAGGCTGAATTTTAAATATTTCGAGTGTTACCTTGATTGTTTTATTTTTATAAAAGTTACATTACACAATTTTTCTTGACTGATCATTTTAACTATAGATTTACTAGAAAAGGTAAGAATATTTCAAGCTTTGTGCATTTGCTATTCTTCTTACATAAGTATGTTTTTCTCCCATTCACAAAATGCTTCTCACTAATTCTGGGGTTTGCCAGTATTCAAAACATATGAATGTGTTCTTTACTTTGCTGTAGAACCGTGTAGTCAGACAGAACCCTGGGGAGAGAAATTATCACATTTTTTATGCATTGCTGGCTGGAACAGATGAAGAGCAGAAAGGTAAGGCACAAACCAATTTCTTGCAGAGAGAAAGATAATAGATAACATTTGTAAAACATCCCCCGCCAGCTATCACCGGCCACTATGTTCACTTCTAATAGTGTCCGCACAGACACTTGCACGGATATTTCTCTGATAGTTTAGTGACTGGATCCACTCATTTGCAACACAATCCCAACACCAGATGCATCTTTCCCTTCCCTCCCCTCATTAAGAACATACAGGATATATAATTTTGATGTACTTTTCCATCATCCTCACTACTGACTTCTCTTCTCCAAGTATTTCCTTTTACAACTCAGTTGAATGCAAAGCCTGTCACTTTGCTTTTTCCAGTGTTTGTGTGTGGCCCTAAATACCTTGTTGCATCTCATACAGAAATTCATATGCATCTTCTCCAATCTTGTTTACTGTAATCACTGCTCACACTACAGTCTCATCAAATTGACTGCCCACCTTTCTGAATATGTTTGCTCTGTTTATAAACACGATTTTGACATTTCAGTATATCAGATTGTAACTTATTTATTCCCTTCTTAGCCCAGTGATGCTAAAGTTAAGAGTAGTACTCCCAAATATTCCTAGCTGAGTTCAGCTAACTCAGCACAGACAGTAATTGTACCTATGACCTTTCCCGATGTGTATGGCTTAGTTTCACATTTGTCGGTGGTTTCCACAACTGAGCTATCGAGGGAGCTAAAGGTAATCATTTCTAATGTCATTTTAAAAAATGGTTTAACACATGCCACCTTTTATTCTACAGAGATGTATCATTTATCACCAGCGCAGAATTACCATTACTTGAGACAGTCTGGATGTATTGGAGATAGAACTATTGATGATCAGCAAACCTTTCAGGATGTCACTGTAAGTTATGGTGGATTCTAGATGAGAACACCAGTCCCTTTTAACCTGACTATTTATAGCCATTTGTAATAGAAATGCAAATGTTAAATATAATTACCTGGCTTTCTTCGGAGTACCTTTCTGGATACATGTGGCTTGAAAATTCACTTGGTCTTAACCTATAAACTATTTCTTGATTTGTGGCAAATTCTAAAAATTCAGTCTTAATTTCGAAGCTGATCTCTTTTTAAGACCTGTGGAAAACAAGCTTCTAAATCTAGACTGAATTTAAGAATTTGTCACAATTCTGCACAATCTTGCAATTGTAACTGATCCTGTCAGTCAGTGGTAGCACTCTCGCCTCTGAGTCGGTAAGTTGTGGGTTCAAGCTTCACATTGAGTCTTGGATTCACAAAGTCTAAACTGACACTCTAGTGCTGAGGGTGTGTTTCATGGTTGGAGGCACAGTCTCTCGGATGAGATGTTAAACTGAGATTCCGTCTGGCAGTTCAGGTGAATGTTAAAGATCTAATGAGAAGAGAGTTTCTTTCTTCTGATGACCTGGCAAACAATCCCCCCCCAAAAAACTGATATAGTATAATGATAATGATAATAATAATAATCGTTGCATTTGATATAGCATCTGATCATGTCGTTGAAATGTCTCAAAGGGCTTCAAAGAATATATTTTAAAGTGGGTTGCCTGTGTATATTGTGGGCGAAACGTGAGAGCCAATTGCATGCAGGGACCACATTTTTTTCCAAGATTAGGAAAGATTAAGGCTATTTGTGGGACATTGTTGTGCACAAACCGGCTGCCATGTTTTGCCTACAAAATACACAGTCAGCCCACTTTACAATATACCCTGCATAGCGCTTTGAGATGTCTTGACCATGTGATAAAATGCTATATCAAATGCAAGGATTATTATAATTTTGAGACAAAATGATCTTGCAGGCTAAAACTAGATGCAATTTCAGGCCTCCTTAGGAAGCTTTTCCAGCAGGACTTGAAAAAAGGGAGAGAGGGGGCAAGGCGGAAGGATTTTGGAAGAGTGTTCCACAGTTTTACACAATGATTTGTTTACACAACTCATCGGACAATGTGTAAATATTTACTGATTTGAATGGGTGAAATTTCGCCCTAACCTGACCAAGTTGAATGTTGTTTTGCTGACCAGCATATTTCACCCACATGTCTAGACTGCCATGAGAGTGATGAAGTTCAAAACTGAAGAGACTCGAGAGGTGCTGAAACTACTCGCTGGTGTCCTACAGCTTGGAAATATTGACTTTATAACGGCTGGTGGGGCACACCTCTCCTCCAAAACAGGTGAATGTGCAAATGTTTTTCATTAGTACCAGAAAAATAACAAAACTCTCACTGTGAGAGTTGGTGTGGTAAAACACTTGTTGCGACTATAGGTGGCTTGAGTACAGTGACTGTCAAACAATGTAAAGTTCTTTCACGAAAAAGGTATTATTGTTGCTGTATGAGCAGTTAATCAAACCTCATCTGCAATATCAGGCTAAAAATGTACTTTAAAATGTCCATAATATATTTGATAAGTATTGAACATGAACGATCTCCCCCCCTTCCCTCCACCCAGCGTAATTTGAAGCAGGAGTGGGTAGGGGAGAGGTGGAAGAATTTTCAGAGAGTGTTCCAGAGCAGGGGGGGGTGCAAAGCTCATCAAACGAATTTGGGTCAGAGCTAATGGAATGCATGAAGCAGGCAGGAATGACAAGAGTGGGAGGAGTGGCAGGGAAAGTAGGGTCAGAAGAGATCACAGAGATAGACCAAATGGTGCAAGGACAAGGGGGCATTTGGAGCTGAGGACGGGGATGTTAAAATTGACAAAAATGTTAAAATCTGGCTCAGGTGCTCAACCTTAGTAACCATTATGCTTTCCATCCATTTCCACTTTCTGCAGTATTCTGATCTAAACATAATCTTTCTTCACAAATAGTTACCGTTTCAATTATAGATATAATTGGTTGCCTCGTTTCGCCCACAAAATATACAGTCAATTTACTTTACAGTATATTTACAGTATATTGTGAAGCGCTTTGAGACATCTAGAAAACTTGATAAGGCGTTATATCAAATGCAAGGATTATTATTACTGATTAAAAACGGGGTTGTATATGCAAAGTGGTGCTGTTGTGTATGAAGCCACTTTAGTGAACTATGCAATGTTTTTTTCAGCATTGGGGAAGGCATCAGAGTTGCTTGGGCTGGATTCAGTGCAGCTCACGGAGGTGCTGACTCACCGGTCTATGATTCTCAGGGGTGAAGAGATCAGTACACCACTCACAGTGGAGCAGGTAAGACCGGATGCTTGTAGTTGTTAACAATAACCTCAGGCAGGCTAGCAAATGTAAAGCCTGGATTACACTTTGCAAAATATCAACCTTTTTTTAAAATGCTGCTTTGTTATTCATCAAAACTAATGTGAGATTTTATACTATCATCTGGAAAATGAAGAATATCTTCCAATTCAGGACTGTCTGAGCTTCTTGTTCCCTGCACAGTTTTGAACTTTTGGGAAGGGAATTGCAGAGGAACAGCGAATAATTGCAGTTACGATGGAAAGAATTTCATGATGAAGTACTAACAACATCAATTATTTAGCCAACATGTATGGCTGGGAGGAGGAAACATTAATCCTGTACAGCTGATCATTGTTATAACTTAGTGTTTGAACACTACACTTTGCCTTTTTATTTTAAAAAGCCACATTAAATGTTTGTCTGAATACTAGCTCTGATGAAACACACGTTGAAGAACAATGTTCTAAACAGATGGGCCAGTCATTGCCATTGGCAGCACTGTAGAACAGAGTGCTTCTAACATGCTGTAATATCCCAGTCCTTTTGTATGCATACAAACGACCCAACAACTTGTAATCCAGCAAGCCTCAGTCACAGATGGTGTGACTTCCAAAACATCTCACTCTGCTTTCTGTGGCCTGGGTAAGATCTGGCTCTTACAACAACTTTGGTATGAAGTTACATTCATTGCTTTTATTCCTTTTTGAATGGTTTTAATTCATGATGGAAAGACAGTTAACAGCTTTGATAAATGAAGCACTGCTGTAGCAGTGAGCCAACGGCAAAGTCTGAACAAGTGCATGAATATGACGGAGATGTGGATCCTGGGGCAAAGTTCTTTATAAAATAGATTAAGAGATTCTCAACTTGATACATATACATACAGAATTCAGCTACTTCTTGCAATGTGTTCTGAGACCTGGTTCAGACTTGTGTTTTTTGACATATTCCTCATATAGTAAACAAGGCTGGATTATATCTTTAGTTACTCCCTCTCTGGATCTCCAACACACACTACTGAGAGACAGGAGATAGCATATTTACCGGACTCTTTTAGCAGAGCCATATCTTGTGTGTATTATACACTCTACAGTATATTCTGTGAAAAGTTTTGAGATATCTCAAAGATGTGATAACAACAACTTGCACTTATATAGTGCCCTCCACGCAGGGTAGCGTCTCAGAGTGCTTATATCAAATGCAAGGATTATTATTACTATTATTGTGTGATGTAAAGACTCAGAAATTCAATGTGGTTCCTGTGTTAAATATTTCATACAGGGAAAGGTTGATACCATGATTATGTGGGGAGAGGCAGGGATGTAGAGAGAATATTACGTTGCTGTTAATAAATTAACTGGTATCTCTTTATTGTTTGCACAACGTCCTGCATATACATTGGAGTTGTATGAATGTATCTGAACTGGAGAATCAATGAATCTGAGACAGTATTACCCAAGGGTTGGATGAGCACAACAAGATTCAGCAATGTGAAATTTCAGTGTGGGTTTCCTCTCCACAGGCAGTAGATTCTCGGGATTCAATGGCCATGGCACTTTACTCCCAATGTTTTGCATGGATCATTGGAAAAATCAACAGCAGAGTAAAAGGAAAGGAGGATTTCAAGTCTGTAGGCGTTCTTGATATATTTGGATTTGAAAACTTTGAGGTATAGTAATCAAAGCTATTTTTATTCATGTGCTACAATGATATATTGCTATAAGCCTAGTTTTCTCTGTTTCTTTGTGTTTCCTCCACCCCATTCTGATTCTCCACTTTCCCCCAGTTTTGTGAAATAGGTTCTGCTGTTTAGATTTCCCTTCAGCAATGGGCTGTTCCCCAAACAGGAGATTGGGCAGGTGTAACCTGTCTTTGTTGCTCTGGATCAATAGTTCATTCTTTCCAAAGATTACAAGAAAGGTTTGAATGAAGGAGCCCTTCAGCCCATTTTATCTCATCCTTAAAATTGTTTCAAATTTAATGAAATAAAATTAATTAATTGATTACAATTAATCCTTAAAAATAATTGTGAAGGAACAACAACAACATTGCATTTGTATAGCGTCTTTCACGTTGGGAGGATGTCCCAAGGCGCTGGACAGAGTACAGCATTTCAGACCCGAGCTGGGGTTGGGGGGGGGTAAGGGGTGGGAGGAGAAGGGGGTGACCGATGGCATGTCGAAGAGGAGGGTCTTGAGGAAGGACTTGAAGGAGACTAAGGAGGGGGCGAGGCGGAGTGAATGGGGGATGGAATTCCAAAGGTTGGGGGCAGAGTGGCTAAAGGCTCTCCCGCCAATGGTGGGGCGGGTGGGGCGGGGGACGTGGAGCAGGCCGGAGCCGGCTGAGCGGAGGGAACGGGCGGGTTGGTAGGGGGTTAGGAGGTCTCAGAGGTAGGGTGGGACGAGGCCATGGAGGGCTTTGTATGTGAGGACCAGGATCTTGAACTGGATCCTCTGAAAGATAGAGAGCCAATGGAGCACTTTAATACATATCAACGACGTGATAAGGTGCTATGTCAAATGCAAGTATTATTATTATTATCCTTCCCAAATTCCTTCTCTATTGTCTTCCCTTTACTTGCATAAATACACCCAATGTTCTGCTCACAAGCATTCTTCCTGATCACCCCTTCCTGGCCCCATTGACTTGACGAAGGTGACCTTTCCAGGCCGGTTGTATTTGTTCTGTAACCAGCTGCCAGCAAGAACACAAGTGAATGCCAGGTTCATTTGCCCTTAGATTGGAGGGGGTTTTAGGAAGGATTTGAAAAAAATCTGTTTGACTTTTATACTTCTATTACTACTGAGAGTGAAAGGCACAATAGGGATGTGAAGTGAGAAGCTCAACTGGGCTGGAAGGACCCTAAAACAATTTTGCTGTTCAATGCATCTGTGCACTGACTGGCTGGCTATCTTAGAAAGGACCTCCGGAAATCATCTCAGTGCAATTTGGTTCCTTTGCTTTTATATCATGCGTTTGCAAATCACACTTTCCCGTTACCACTCCTCCAGATGGTTTCAGAAGCAAGGCTCCAATTTGATTGATACTGGCTGAATTCCCACTTATACTGCATATAATTCACTCCTGAGCATGCAATATAAACTCAGCATTAAAACTATTCCTTACTTTTGCAATCCTTGAAGTGTTTGACCTGCACGTTTTTCCTTGTTACAGGTAAATCGGTTTGAACAATTCAATATTAACTATGCAAATGAAAAACTTCAGGAATATTTCAACAAGCACATATTTTCCTTGGAACAACTGGAATACAACAGGTAAAGAGTCTTCAGTTGAGATATATTAAAACAAAGCTTTGGCTCCAGGAGTAAACATTGATACTTTGATATTGATATTTACTGGGGTGCACCCTTCCAGCAGAAAATGGTTAGAACTGGAAAAAAAAATTCATATTTCTGAGTTCAAAATCACATTGGATAGGGGCTGAAAACAGCTTTGCCTTTCTAAGCAAAACTGAGTTAAATTGTTTTAATGCTAGGCAGGCGATTGTCTCTTTAATATCACAAAAGATTTATGGACTGCCGCAGAAATGTTCAACTCTTTATGTTGACTACTGGTTGCAGTAAAAAAACATTGTTTGGATTCCTGAAACTACATCCTAGATGCTCCAGTGCTCTGAATCAAATATTACTGCGAGAATATTACTTTCAGATTTGATAGTATTCCTATCAGATTTGTTTTTGCACTGCAAGCATATTGTGAGCAGTTTGTACAGTACATTAGGAGAGTTGCCAATGACTTTCTGTGCCTCAGTGTCATCACTGGCAACATCACAAACCTGAAAATGCTGACTGCAACTGTACAGCATCCTCACTTCTAACATGAATTAAAATTTTCTGGATTCCAACAATACAGTACTCTTGACATTTATATAGTTCCTTGCAAGGCCGCCTCAAAACACTTTACAGAACTGTCTAGCAGCTGAGCTGGGAGAGGGGAACCTACTGTATCAACCACCTTATAGCCAGCTTCCCTGTACCTGAATTCTCCACAGTTGAAGTATTGACAATTGGTTTACCTTGTTTTCCCTTGTCAAACCTGAGTACGTTGAGCAGATGTGTACAGTTTTAACTAATTGATCAAAATGTATCTTCTATTGATTCAGAGAGGGATTGCTGTGGGAGGACATTGAATGGATGGACAACGGAGAGTGCTTGGACCTTGTTGAAAAGGTAATGTTGCTCTCCTGTAGTTTTATTGTTTACATTCCTCGGGTAGATCATCCAGATGTGCTTTGTGCAGAGCTCAGGTGGAGATTCAAAGGGTTATATTTAATTGTGCAGAAACACAGTTGTTCTTCAGCAGATTCAATGACTGGAGCCTTTGTGACATTAAGTTTTATTTTGCATCCAACCTATTACATGGGATACTTACACTTTTCATAGGTTTTCATAGGTTTCACAGCTACATAAATATTTAACTAAATTAAAACATAATAATATTTTGGACAGAAGCCCAATGTGACAGTAATTTGCACAAGCAGAATGTACATGCACTGGTAACCTACACGTTTTGTGTAGGAGGATCAAATGGAACAGGTTAATGATAAATAAAAAAACATGAGTTCAAGTTTCACAGCACTGTGATCACTCTTTGTTTGTAGGTTCAAAAGCTGTGGTAAATTCAAAGGTAACATCACAAGCTTCATTCACTGAGTGGAGAATGGTTAATTCTTTGTTTAATTAAGTCTGCAAGTTGTTTAGCTTCTTTCAATAAACTGCAATGCACAGATTTTTCGGAAAGCTTTTACAGGACACTTTTATGAGGAGTGAGTTGCTGCCTTTGATCTATTTACAGAATAAGAATCCAACTCCTGAAAGCAGAACTTTTATTTAAAAAGCCTTTTGAACTGTTTTGGATTTTATTAATATCTGAAGCCCCAAATCTTATCCTTCACAACACGCAAAAAGAAACTATGGAAACAAACATCTACCAAATTAAGATGGAATTTAAGACTTTTCCAAATTTCTGCACAGTCACAAATTTTAAGACAATGGTTTTAAAACTACAGAAATGAGGAATGTTGGGCTTTTAATCACTTTCCTGAGGCATAGTCTGTTTAGAATGATAATTTTAGCTTTGCTTCGGCAAAAGGTGGTGTTTTATGTAAGCCAGTCAACTTTGAATGTTTATAACTAAAAATGTTGATGTTCAAAACTGAATACTGTAGCTTTCATGTGTGCTAATATTTGCTCCTGTATTTCTAGAAAATGGGCATTCTAGCTCTCATTAATGAAGAAAGCCATTTTCCAAAAGGCAATGACAGCACTCTGCTAGAAAAATTACACAGTCAACATTTGGTAGGTTATATATTTGTCAACAAATGTAAGTTGTCTATTTGACTGACCACCAAATATATCCAATAATTATCAAGTGTATTTTTTTTTACAGTCTGATTAACTAGATACAGCTCCTCAACCGCAGAAACCTTGTTTTAAATCAGTATTTGACAGTGTTTTAGAAAACTTGTAGTTTTGCTTATTCAATACATAGTTATTGGGGAGGACAAGTTTGCTATGGGGAGAGCGCGGGGAGTGGGATTGAATTGAATAGCTCTTTTCAAAGAACTGGCGCAGACACCATGGGCCGAATGGCCTCCTTCTGTGCTGTATAATTCTGTGATAATGCTGGTGTAAACTATTGGCACTAGGTGGCAGCATATCCCTCCCAAGCTCGTGGCTGCTTCTTTTCCCAGGTCCTCAAGAGCGCCATTCATTTTTAAAAGATCAACATGTGATTTTTCTTTACAAAATGTTAGACTCTATATTAGGCCCCAAGTTATTTTTATTGTTAGATATTTCTTTCTTGGCATTGACTTGTCATTAGAGAGATTAAATTGATGCTTTCCTTTGCCCCAAAATATGTTGTGTTAAGTGCTCTCTTCCCCTGCCTTTAAAATCCTCCTAAAAATCTTTGCCCACGTTTTTGGTCAATATCCTCATTATCTCCTTTTCTCCCTTCTTCCACCTTGCTCAATAATCCATGCAATTGCTATAAAGTGGGTTGAGACATTATTCTATGAAAAGTCATTTGATTTGTTGAAACGTTGCTACCGAAGACAGGATGTACTTGGCACAAGACAGCAGGTCTTTTTTTTCAGAGCTTTAAACTTCCAAAACAAATGGACTAAATTTATAACAAACATGTCACATTCTGTAAAAGGTGAGATTGACTCCATCTTCTTTTAGGTGTGGTTTGTAGAATCCAGGCATGTCACAGAACTTACTTGCATTCTGGTCAACGTTCAGCGGTTTGGTTTTAATTAAGCTTCATTTGGTCAAAACAACCTCTGCTGTGACTCCTGGGTCTGTAGCTATAAACCCAAAGCAAGCATTTGACAGGGTAATACCTATCAACCCAAACTGTTTTTATTTGTTTGTGTGCTGTCAGTAATTTGATCTGTCTTCACTTCTTCCCAGAACAATCCCTTTTATGTGAAGCCAAGAGTCACTGACCATTATTTTGGAGTGAAACACTACGCTGGAGAGGTATTTGTTCTGTATCTATTTTGATTTCCATCCAGATTGTTTTTAACAGTGTTTTACTAATAATAAACCTTGCATTTGACATAGCACCTTCTCACATCATTGAGACATCTCGAAAGCGCTTCACAGAACATTCTGTAAAGTGGTGTGACTTTGTGAATTATAACTTAAGTGTAACTGCTAATAACTAAGAGCTGGAGGTTTTACAGGTCTTTTTGATCGCTTTGTTTTGCCCAAAGTCTTCTTCTAACTCTTATAAACAGTAGTAACAAATTGGCTTTTCCATTTCTAAGGTGTTGTATCATGTGAAGGGGATTCTAGAGAAGAATAGGGACACATTCCGGGATGATGTGCTGAACTTGTTACGTGAAAGCAGGTAAGCACGCCGTTCGTATGGAAGGGATTTAGCATTTACCTTTGGAGCTGTGTAGTTTTTAGACATCCGTGTGAAAATATGCTGCACATATAGGAAAGAAGATGCAACATGATGCGACAAATTCGATATGATAATTATAGTTTCACATGATAGCTGATCTGATAATCAGTCAATAATTGGCGACTGGTTTCAGGTCCGAACTGTTAAGTACAATGCTTTGCACCAAATTTTCTTTTCAGAGTTTTAGCCAACTTGGATTTGTACCTAGCGGTAGCAGGATAAAAATACTTTCTTGTGAGCCGAGAGGCAGCAACTAAATGCTACTAATCAAGATACTAATCTAGTACAGTTAAGTCAGTCTCCTATTTAACAGCTTAAATGTACTGTTTTAAGCATTTGTGAATGTGGAGTTCTTCGGGCCCAAACTATCATGTCAAAGCCAGAGAGGGGTTCTGAACAATCCATCGCCAGTAAATTAAAGTTTAAAATCATTGCAGTTGCTGTAAAAATCTGCCTCTCAAAGATTGCTGCACACAATACTTCCCTATTGAATCCCAGCTACGACTTCACCTTAACCTAAAGACAATTTTACTTTTAATTCTGCCAACTGTGAATCTGTTTCAGATTCAGATCATAAAATGATCTGATAGTGTGAGGCAAAGCAGAGCTTGTGACAGCTGAAGGAATATGTGAAGAGGAATTCCTCTGTCTAGATTTACTCTATTTATGTAGCAGTTAAGAGTGCCGAGAATTTCACACTAATCAAGAACTTAAATGCTTCTCTAAAGAATAGATTGTTGCGTTAATAAACTCCATGTTTATTTCATGGCTTGTGGGTCCCTTTGTCAATTCTCAGCTGGACTACTCTAACACCCTCCTCGTCGATCTCCCCTATTTACAAAATTCAGCTGATTTAAAACTTTGCCGCCTGCATTCTCACCCGCACCAAACTCCGCACTCCGATTACCCCAGTCCTTGCCAAACTCCACTGGCTCCCTGTCACAGAGCGGATCGACTTCAAGATCCTCACTCTAATGTTTCAATCCCTCCATTCCTTGGCACCCCCCTATCTCTCTAACCTCCTCTCTCCCCACAGCGGTACTCGCTGCCTCCGCTCTACTGGGTCCGACCTCCTCCGTGTCCCCCGAATCCTCCGCTCCACCATCGGCGGCCGTGCCTTCAGCCACTCCACCCCAAAACTTTAGAACTCCCTCCCTCAACCGCTTCGCCTCACCCCCTCCTTCCCCATCTTCAACTCACTGCCTGAAGCAAAATCATCAATGTATTTAAGCGAAAACTTGACACATACATGAGGGAGAAGGGAATAGAGGGGTACAGGTGAGGGGAATAGGAAGGGTCGGAGCTCGTGTGGATTATTAACACCAGCACAGACTAGTTGGGCCAAATGGTTTGTTTCCATGTTGTATTACTCTAAGCAGATTTATACGGTTAGCATTATTCAGTCATCCACAAAGCAAGACTAAGGCTGACCTTGTTTCTTAATGTTTTGCTCCCTGTCCTTTTCTAAGGTTTTACTAACTCTGGGATTTGTGATCCATTGGCAATCTTAAGATTTCTTAGTTGGAAGTCAAGGTTATCACAACAAATCTAATTTGCAAATATAGAGTATCACAAATTGAATACTACAAATTGAAGAATAACAGCACATTAGCACAGTTAACATGCGTGGTGCAAAAATAACAAACACTGATTCATGACTGCACTGATTACAAACAGCAATTCCCTGATCTCATTCAGGTCATCTAGGCAAGGTACATAATGGAGTGTAGTGCTCTTCCCCTTTCTCTTTCTTTCTCTCCTCCCCAGAGGAGGTGGCAAAGAGGGAAAGGCGTCGGATGGAATGTCCACAGTCCACCTTGGCTGAGGATCTGTATTTGCAGAGACCTAGGAGCAGATCACAGACTACACTTGGTCACAAATGATGCACTGTGTAGGCAAACTTAAAAGAGGTAGCAATAAAATATAAGTAAAATTAGGATCAAACAAGGGGTTAAATTAGCAGAGTCTGTGTGTACTGACTGAAGCACAATGTTATTGGTCATTGTAACACTGTGCACTGATTAAAGCAAACTGTTACTGTCATTGGTATTTCATTGTATTCCCCTGATTTCAGGCTTGATTTCATCTATGACCTGTTTGAGTATACATCGAGCAGGAACAACCAAGACACGCTAAAATCTGGAACGAAGCGTCGGAAGCCAACTGTGAGCTCTCAGTTCAAGGTCAGTCTCTTTATTATTGATTGGGCTGAGCTAGGGTTGATTCCTGACTTCTTGTTTTAGATACCAGTCAGAGCTCGGTACAATAATAGTGCCTGCCACGCTCTCATATTCACTAGTTCATGCACATTAAATATAAACAAACATTCCATATCTTAAGAAGGGTTGTGTACAAGTGTCAGCTGAGTGAGTCAGAAACCTCTTACCATCAAAAAAACTATTTTTGTGCTCATGCCAAACACATGCACGGTTCTGTTAAAATAGCAGAACTATAATTTTTTTTCTGGCTGTGGTTTCTCTCTGTGCACAAGACATTGAGACAGAAACTGTGCCTGGTGGGAAAACTCCACAGGTGGAGTGAGATTTCAACCAGATTGCATTATACACATTGATGCCACAAGGTAAACAAGGTGGTGATGCTGGTATTCTGATCCAAGACTTTCTGAGTAAAATCGTACACTTGAAACACCGGTTCTACTTGTGTTTGATATTGCACCTTATCACATTGTCAAAAGATGTAATTGTTCTTAAATAAAAAGATTTATATATACCTGGAAGATTTTATAACTCTAGTTGCCCATGTTAATATTAGATCTTGGAAGTTCTGTCCACTATCCTAGTATCCAGTTTACAGAAGTTCATCATCCTAAAACTTCACCCAAGTGACCATTCTTCAGTTGTGAGCCTTAGACACAAAGGGTTCTATTATTGTTTTCATTATAGAACATGCATGAGCAAACAGATCACTAGTTTTAGCGGACCTCACAGTCTTGCTACTTTTATAGACGAGATGGCATCGCGGTTCAACCCAGTCCTTTGCAGACAGCAAGGGTCGGCGAGCACAATCAGGGGTGGGAACCCTGACTGATTATTTTTAAATTACTCTTTTCATATGACCCAGGGGCATTGAGGACTATTATATTAAGCCCAGCTTGGACCAAGGATGAAACCCAAGACCTTCCTGATCAGTATCCATACTATGATTTTGTTGGCAAACACCACAGCCATTGTGCACACGGCAAGGTTCAATAAACCTCCATGTGATGAATGATCCATTAATCTTCAGGATGGTTAGCCAGGACTTTGAGAGAAACTCCCAATTCTTTTCAGAATCTGCTGTGGGAGGTTTTTCCTCCATAGTTCCTGTAGGGTATCTGGTGGAGCTCCTCACTGCAGGGAGCGAGAGCACTTCATTTATCATTCACTTTGTGGAAGTGCTCCACCTGCTAGTCATACCATTGAGGAGCTGGGCATGAACTGGTGACCAGCTGTGGAAAGGTTTCCCACCAATCTACTTATTTCACAGCTGGAAGAGAGTTTGTTTGGAAGCAACAGAAGCAATAATTTTTCATGTCATGTCTTATTAATAAAAATCCTAGCATTTAGCATAGCGCCTTATCACGTTGTATAAAGTGACTTGACTGTATGTGTAATCAAATTTCAGCAGCCAGCTTGTGCACAGTAATGTCCTACCAACAGCCATGGAGTGAGAGGCCAAATGTATTTGGAGGATTCATTGGCCAGGAACGAGAATAGTGCCATGGGATCTTTAACGTACACCTGAACAGGCAGTAGGGATTTCGGTTTAACGGCTCATCCAAAGGCTGGCATCTCAAACAGTGCAATACATCCCCAGCACTGCATTAGAGTGTCAGCTTCGACTATGTAATTCTGAGTGTTGACGTGGGGCTTGAACCCACATCCTTGTGAATCAGAGGCGAGAGTGCTACCACTGTGCCAGGTAAACGTACATTCAGGAGAAGAGGAGAAAATAAAGGAAATCATAAGATGAACTTAAAAGGCCCAATCGTAGGTCAGGCCTTTTTTTACTGGAGGCTGCACTGTCATTTCAGGCCACATTCAACTTTTGGCGAGGCTGGAGCAGTCTCAAACCTCTTTACAACTGTATTATTTTAACATTTGACACTTTTTTAAAAACAAATCAATGGAAACTTTCAGTGCATCAGAAATCTAACAAAGTAAACTTTATCTGGCCAATAACAATGGCATAGCTTGAACAGTCTGAGGAGCACAGCGTGAGACCCATAACACTGGACGTTCAGTGAATGATTGCAAGACAGTCACTTGGTGTTAGTATTTGTGGCCAGACATCCATGTAATGGACATATAGTGTTGGTTTGTTGCTGTTCTGGTACCAGCCGCTTACAGTAACTGTAGAGCATTAAACCAGCTTGAGTCACCACCATCAGGAGGAGGGCAGAGAGGAAATTAAATAAAAGGCCTAAGTTTCTTCCAATTCAATAGTTTTTAGACATTTAGTTGTTTCACACACAAATACACAGTCAAATCACTTTACAGTATATTCTGTGACGATGTCTAGAAAATGTGAAAAGCGCTATACCAAATGCAAGGATTATTTATTTATTAAAAATTGCCAGAAATGTAATCATTTTTTGCCTGTTTTCATAACTTAAATGACAGATGAGGTTGTATTAAGACATTTTAAAGGTTCTGGATATCATCTTTCAAAGGTTGGACCCTTTGGCACAGCATTTCATTTCATAGCAAAATATATGAATTTTTTTTTAAAAAATCAATCTTTCCGATCTCTCATCTTTTCCAAAGTTAAAAACTTTGTGGAAAGGTCAGTCTTATTTTATCACCGACACTCCAAAATAGCCTTGGGTTGTGAGCTACTGAATAAAAATATCTCATGTGTCAGCACTTTCCATCACAGTGAGATCACATTCATTGTGGATTACAGCGGTCTGAACTAAATACGATCCCTCAGGGTTTACATGGAACTCTAAAAATTTGAGTTTTAACCTGTAGAGCATTCACATCGGGAAGATTATAGTTGCCTAAAATCAATTCCTTCCTGTTTCACAGCTCCAAACAAAAATGTCGCAAAAGTTGATAGCACTGAAACTCATTTTGAGTAAATAACTCCCTATTGGGCCAGTCATCGATTTCTACTGTCACTTTGCAGCAAATGTGAAATTGCTGCATGGGTGGAAATAGTTTTTTTCAATCGCAAGAGATCCAGGTGTAAGCTTCAACTGGTTCTGAATTATTCTACTCTCAGAATGAAATAAGCCACGATATGTGAAGTTAATACAGTTTCTAACCACACAAGCTGTTTATATTTTTACTATGTGGGTATCATATCTGTTGCACTTTAACTTTAAGCTATTATCTGTTGAGTATTTAAAATAATTCAGTACCCTGTGGTGGGAGATGGTGACACAGATTTGTGATGCAACTTAAGTTCACAGAAAGCTTTTTTTAACGAAATATATAGCAAGTATTTATGTTTTAGCACAGACATTATTTCACCGCACACATTCACTGGTTCATCAGTTATGAAAGCCATAACCAGGTTTTATTTATGTTTTATTTATTTTCCTCAACTTTCAGAACTCCCTCCATTCCCTCATGGCAACGTTAAGCTCATCAAATCCATTCTTTGTCCGCTGTATCAAACCCAACATGCAGAAGGTGAGTTAACAATTGCCATCTAGACAGTTGTTGCAGCTCTAGTGTGTGTGCACTACACCCAGCTTTTCTTTCACTCTTTTCAACGACCTGTTTGATACATTCTCAGGGATGGATATTTTTTGTTAAAAGCAAGATGCTAATCGTTGAATTAAAAAAAACAAGTATTTTGTGTATGAAAAAGATTACTTGCCAAATAGTGGACTTTTGGGCAAGAGACAGATAGATGTATGTGTGTGAGATAATTAGCACCAGTGGACATACCCTGCAGTTTGTTTGTCTAAAGTTGTATAGTGGAGTTTGGTTGTGTGCTTGCCGTGTTCCCAAGTCAAAGGTTGTTGGTTGTTATCTCTTATTGCATAGTGGTTCAACGACTTGCGCTTCCTGAATAGTGTCTGAATCACTAGCAAGAACAGAGTCGAGGGGAAAACTGCACCTTGTGGACTCCCTGCTACACTGAGTCAGGAAGCAGTAATCTACGATGCTGAGAAGCTCAGGTGTTCTTCCCACTGGGGCGTTCCCAGTTTACGATGGGTTTTCTCCAGTATCAGTACAGATACTACCTTCTTTACCACTCATGTTCCTGACATTGTAATAGAGTGATAAGTCTGATCATACTGCACATAGATTATGCAGCTGTTATTCATTGATTGGTGCTTGATGTACAGGATACACAATGAGTACTTTTCAATGATTGGAACCAAAATCCCTTTTACTAAGATGCTGGCCACACAAAAAAATTCTGTGGTTGGAACAGTTTTACAGGAACGCTTGAAACAAAATATATTTGTATTTGTTTTCGGTCAGTAAATCAATAATTTTCTTGACCTATTATTTTTTTTAAAAAACTTACAAAATGAGTCCAGCAGAACAGTTTATGGGTTTCAAAAGGTTTGGGCTCCAGGCCCGCTATTAACACTCTTTTACTGTGATGCGACACCAGCAAACAATACCATTGTCGCTGCAACTAATTTATGTGCCAGTTGATGAATGAATCTTTCACTGGGTGCTTCCAGCAACTGCATTCAGAGGAATTATTGGGCAGTGCACAGAGCTGAGTGAACAAAGATTAAAAGTACCAGTGAAAGACCTGGTTGGAACCGACATGCAATTACTGCTAAACCTCTGGATATGGTGAATTAATGAAGTTTCCAAAAAAATATATGTAACTGAGCCCTTGCAGCTGGAATTGTATTGTCTTCCACTTTCTCATAGATGATTTCTCTCTGGTTAGAACTGATCAGGTTTTACACTAGTAAAGAGTAACATAGTGAAGAAGGAGAGGCTCAAATGTGTAGGTCACTGCAAGTTGAATCAGTATTACTTTTTTGTAAGTTTGGTGTCTGACACATACAGAAACCAATCCAAACATGTACATGGGTCTAAAATATTCTCTGTGTCTGGAATGGAATGCAAACTATCTCAGTGGAGACCCCAGAGTGTGAGTTGGGGGTCATGCTGGAGTATAACATTTTGAAATGTAAAATTTTACTTGCATATTTAATAATGTTTAAAAGTTTACTGCCAGCTAAATCTACATAGCTTACATTAATAATAATCCTTGCATTTGACATAGCGCCTTATCACGTCGTGGAGTCGTCTCAAAGCGCTTTACAGGATATATCGTTAAGTGAATTGGCTGTGTATTTTGTTGGCAAAACTCATTCAGAGAACTGTCTGGCAAGCTTCCCATTCCTTGTCCAGGAGGACATGCTACCCACTAGGGTATAGTCGTTTGGACTATGATGCCTCCACAGCAAATGCATGCGGGCCGTTCTGTACATATGCCAATTTACGTAACCTTTTGTATGTGACCCACTGATATCAGATGCATTACACATACTTCAGAAATATATTTTTATAATTACTGCTAATGAAAAAATGAAAAAAAATGCAGCGGAGACTGGGAGATTTGACGCGTATCATGCAATTTTGCTCTTGGCTTTAATTCCACCCCCATCTCCTGTCATTATTTATTAGATTCTCTCTGGAAAATCCATTTCTAAAGTATGTGCATGTACAATGAAATATTGTGAAACTATTGCCAAGAACAGTGAGTTTCCCATTTCCCAGTCCAGTGGGCAAAAGACCAAAGCTGCTGCCAGAAACAAACAATTTAGTGGAGTCGAGATTGGTCCAGGTCCCAAATTTCAGTTGAATTTCCAGACCTCCGAAATGCTAATGATCACTCAAATTAAAATTCTCTTGGCTTTGTTGCCTTAGAAACTAAAGAAAGTTATGCATGACCTTGACAATGGCATCAATGGAAACTGAAATACGACATAGCAGAAGAATCCATTCATAGTGTGTGTTTGAGTGAGGACGTGCGTGCACACAGCTCAGTGCAAAACATTGTGCTCACTGTAAAACATTGTATTCACTGCAAAATGTGCTCAGGTCTTGTTTTCACATAAGTGCTGGAAAGGCGTGGAAGGCTATTTAAATGCAATTTGTGTTGTTTGAAAGGAGTTCCTGTTACAGTGTCTGGATAGTTTTTGATGCAAACCTTTGGCACTTGAAAATACACGTTCAAATTCACATTATGAAGCTTGAGAGACTGGACCCTGATTTCAGCCTGTTAGAAGTGTTCACTGTGGTTATCGTCGAGCCAATCCACGGTGGACACAATTTGATTTCAGTAGCGGACAAAATGACATAACAAAGTTAACAGCCGAGAGACTGCAGGAAGCAGTTGGAATACCAGCTCCTGAAAGATTTTTGATTGTAAATCTTCAGTATCACTCTCTCCACAGACTCCAAAATAGCACGAATATTAAGGTACGTCTGTTCTCCTGCATTGTGAGGTAATGTTAAGGCTTAAATATAACCCAACTGAGTTTGAAAATAATTGTTTTTTTCTAGCTTGTTTTGCCCGCTGGACACGGGTGAAATCTACCACTTTACGTAGCTTGATAATAATAATAATGTCTGGAATGAAAGTGTTGCATTTCTGCTGTTACTCAGGTTAAACATTTTGGATTCTCGAGCACTTTGTTGCTTATTTGTATCCCCAGAAGGATCGCGCCGAGATATGTATTTGATGATGAATTACAATATTGTTGCGGTGCAGAATGCAGTGGACTATATTAATCCAAAACATCTTCCACTTGGAGTCATATTGTCATCAAAGTATCACACAATGCCAGCCTTTCTTTCTCTCTCTCTCCCCCACAGTGCTAGACTTCTCTACCCCCCACCCCCCCGCCACCCCACCTCCTCCTCACACACATCACACACAGACACACACACACACACAGACTTCTACCCCACCCCCCATCACACACAGACACCGCTTCTCTATCCATAAACTCATAATCTAGTCACTGTCCAATGCCCTCTACTAACATAGATTGCACAGAAGGAGAACATTATTTATAGGGATTATTAAGTTCCTAAAGCACAATGATTTCGGTGTTGCTATGTCCTGTTGATTGAGATTGTCGTCTATGCACAGAGCAAGAAAAGGCCATTTGAGTAATCATGTCTGCTATTTTACCTTATCATGGACATCATCCACCTCTACTTTATCTCTTGAGACAAGTATCATAGTCCAGTGTAACAAGATGTGACAAAGACATACAAAATTCAGATTTAAAAAAGTTCCAGCACATACATTAATATTACAGACCAGCACATAGCATCCTATTGTAAATCCTGTGAGATCTTTGAGTTGTCCTCCTGTCGTGAAAGCTGTCAAATGTAAGTATTATTATTAATATATCTACCGTTATCATTCTTTACCATTTAATAAACACCCAAATTAATAAACACCCACATTATTAAATATTCTAAATCTGGCATAATCTTGTTTCAATTACGATACAAGGTCAAGCTATTTTTTTGATTGATGAGTCTGGGTCAGCAGCAAAAGCTGGACTGATTTCAATACTCTTGCGTTGTGCAAATGAACAGTGTGTTGCGAGTACCTTGAGCTGGTATTTCAGAGGGTGGCTCAGCGCTCCTTTTTCCTTTACTCTTTTATCACAATGGGTTTGCCAGGGGATGGGAATATTCTGGCCTTTGAGTGTTGTCTGACCCCTGGTTTCCCAGCAACCTGAAGTTGTTTGGGAGAACATGTTAAAAGCGGTTTTACATCGAACATATCATATAGTGGCCGCGAGGTACACATAGCTCCATTCCCATGACGACGGCTTGTCATCCGTCCTTCGATGGAGATAATCCAGCGAAGGGTTTTTGTAGACGTAAAGGAATTTGCCACATTGAAGCAATTTGCTTGTGGAGAATTATTTTGCTTTGAATTTGCTTCTTTTAAGACCTGATGGATATAATACAAACAGCAGAACGAAACACTTCAGTGAACTGAAAACCAAAAATGCCTGTATTTGTGGCATCATTGGCTAAAAACTAGTTTTGCAGAAATAAGTTTTTTTCTAATCGATCTGCAAAATCATTGAATGGTTAATTTTTAATAAATTTATATTAGATATTTAGTGGCAAACTTCTAACGCTGGAAAAAGAAAAGCCGCCTGTGGGGTTGGACAAGTACTTAGTTAGCGGCAAAATAGCATCTGCAATGGGCACTGCGCTTTCTCCAGGGAATCCCTTGTATGTGCGTCAAACTGAATCATAAGTCTTCAGCTTCAAGAACAAGCAGTCAAAAGTCAAAGTTTGAGATACAGGAGATTTCTTGCAGAAAACTGTTTATGCAGTTTGTGGAGTCCTGTAGCTCAGTGGTTAGAGCACTCGCCTTTCAAGCAAGAGACCTGGGTTCGATTCCCGGCAGGGCAAAATGTTGGGCAACTTTCTTTACTCCACGCGCCTCTGTTTACTTAGCAGTAAGTAGGAACCCAGTTGTTAGTCGATTGGCGGATCGCTTTTCCGGGCGTAATAATTCCTTCAAAAAAAAAATAATAATAAAATAATTAAATTAATAAATAATAATAAATAATAAATTGGTCACTCAATCCACGACTGTTTGTGGAACACTGCTGTGCGTAATTGGCTGCCAAGTTTCGCCCACAAAATATACAGTCAATTCACTT